ACAGCGTGTTAGCAACGCAGCAGAGCGTGCTAGCAACGCACCTGAGCGTGCTAGCAACGCAGCTGAGCGTGCTAGCAACGCAGCAGAGCGTGCTAGCAACGCAGCTGAGCGTGCTAGCAACGCAGCAGAGCGTGCTAGCAAGGGTGCTAGCAACGCAGCTGAGCGTGGTAGCAACGCAGCTGGTCGTGCTAGCAACGCAGCACAGCGTGTTAGCAACGCAGCAGAGCGTGCTAGCAACGCAGCTGAGCGTTCTAGCAACGCAGCTGAGCATGCTAGCAACGCAGCAGAGCGTGCTTGCAACGCAGCAGAGCGTGCTAGCAACGCAGCAGAGCGTGCTAGCAACGCAGCTGAGCGTGCTAGCAACGCAGCAGAGCGTGCTAGCAACGCAGCTTAGCGTGCTAGCAACGCAGCTGAGCGTGCTAGCAACGCAGCAGAGCGTGCTAGCAACGCAGCTGAGCGTGCTAGCAACGCAGCAGAGCGTGCTAGCAACGCAGCAGAGCGTGCTAGCAACGCAGCTTAGCGTGCTAGCAACGCAGCTGAGCGTGCTAGCAACGCAGCAGAGCGTGCTAGCAACGCAGCTGAGCGTGCTAGCAACGCAGCAGAGCGTGCTAGCAACGCAGCTGAGCGTGCTAGCAACGCAGCAGAGCGTGCTAGCAACGCAGCAGAGCGTGCTAGCAACGCAGCTGAGCGTGCTAGCAACGCAGCAGAGCGTGCTAGCAACGCAGCAGAGCATGCTAGCAACGCAGCAGAGCGTGCTAGCAACGCAGCTGAGCGTGCTAGCAACGCAGCTGAGCGTGCTAGCAACGCAGCAGAGCGTGCTAGCAACGCAGCAGAGCTTGCTAGCAACACAGCAGAGCGTGGTAGCAACGCAGCTGGTCGTGCTAGCAACGCAGCACAGCGTGTTAGCAACGCAGCAGAGCGTGCTAGCAACGCAGCTGAGCGTTCTAGCAACGCAGCTGAGCGTGCTAGCAACGCAGCAGAGCGTGCTTGCAACGCAGCAGAGCGTGCTAGCAACGCAGCAGAGCGTGCTAGCAACGCAGCACAGCGTGCTAGCAACGCAGCTGAGCGTGCTAGCAACGCAGCAGAGCGTGCTAGCAACGCAGCTTAGCGTGCTAGCAACGCAGCTGAGCGTGCTAGCAACGCAGCAGAGCGTGCTAGCAACGCAGCTGAGCGTGCTAGCAACGCAGCAGAGCGTGCTAGCAACGCAGCAGAGCGTGCTAGCAACGCAGCTTAGCGTGCTAGCAACCCAGCTGAGCGTGCTAGCAACGCAGCAGAGCGTGCTAGCAACGCAGCTGAGCGTGCTAGCAACGCAGCAGAGCGTGCTAGCAACGCAGCTGAGCGTGCTAGCAACGCAGCAGAGCGTGCTAGCAACGCAGCAGAGCGTGCTAGCAACGCAGCTGAGCGTGCTAGCAACGCAGCAGAGCGTGCTAGCAACGCAGCAGAGCATGCTAGCAACGCAGCTGAGCGTGCTAGCAACGCAGCTGAGCGTGCTAGCAACGCAGCTGAGCGTGCTAGCAACGCAGCAGAGCGTGCTAGCAACGCAGCAGAGCTTGCTAGCAACGCAGCAGAGCGTGGTAGCAACGCAGCTGGTCGTGCTAGCAACGCAGCACAGCGTGTTAGCAACGCAGCAGAGCGTGCTAGCAACGCAGCTGAGCGTTCTAGCAACGCAGCTGAGCGTGCTAGCAACGCAGCAGAGCGTGCTTGCAACGCAGCAGAGCGTGCTAGCAACGCAGCAGAGCGTGCTAGCAACGCAGCACAGCGTGCTAGCAACGCAGCTGAGCGTGCTAGCAACGCAGCAGAGCGTGCTAGCAACGCAGCTTAGCGTGCTAGCAACGCAGCTGAGCGTGGTAGCAACGCAGCTGGTCGTGCTAGCAACGCAGCACAGCGTGTTAGCAACGCAGCAGAGCGTGCTAGCAACGCAGCTGAGCGTTCTAGCAACGCAGCTGAGCGTGCTAGCAACGCAGCAGAGCGTGCTTGCAACGCAGCAGAGCGTGCTAGCAACGCAGCAGAGCGTGCTAGCAACGCAGCACAGCGTGCTAGCAACGCAGCTGAGCGTGCTAGCAACGCAGCAGAGCGTGCTAGCAACGCAGCTTAGCGTGCTAGCAACGCAGCTGAGCGTGGTAGCAACGCAGCTGGTCGTGCTAGCAACGCAGCACAGCGTGTTAGCAACGCAGCAGAGCGTGCTAGCAACGCACCTGAGCGTGCTAGCAACGCAGCTGAGCGTGCTAGCAACGCAGCAGAGCGTGCTAGCAACGCAGCTGAGCGTGCTAGCAACGCAGCAGAGCGTGCTAGCAACGCAGCTGAGGGTGCTAGCAACGCAGCTGAGCGTGGTAGCAACGCAGCTGGTCGTGCTAGCAACGCAGCACAGCGTGTTAGCAACGCAGCAGAGCGTGCTAGCAACGCAGCTGAGCGTTCTAGCAACGCAGCTGAGCGTGCTAGCTACGCAGCAGAGCGTGCTTGCAACGCAGCAGAGCGTGCTAGCAACGCAGCAGAGCGTGCTAGCAACGC